TATTTAGTCTGATAGCAATCTTTTCATTTCCAATAATAATACCAATATTGCAGCTTTAAGAGCTGGAGTTATTGGGAACTGCAGGATTAAAAGATGTCGGACATCTATGGGTCAGTCCGCCTTCTCAGTGAAAGCATCACATCTCTGGAACTCTTTGCTTCTGGAGCTTAAGTCACAGACTGATATTCAACTTTTCTCCACAAGATTGAAAAAATGGCTCAAAGACAATCAAGAGTGTAAGCACTAAACTGGCTTGTACTGTAAATTTTTTTTTGTTTTGTTTTGTTTTTTTTATTTTAACTTCTCTTTATTTTTTTTTTATGCATCTGTGTGTCGTTACTAACCTCCCTCCCCCTTAATGCTAACACCTTTTAAAAGCCTAACCAGGGACGAAGGCTGCAAATTAGCCCATGGCTACAAGCCTTATGTACTTGGACATCGGCCACCTGTTTGGTTGCAATGTTTAATTGTACTGTCCCTGTCAAATAAACAAATAAATAAATAAAAATAAGTTTTGACCGATACAGATTAGATAAAACATATGTACACATGACACATACTTTTATTACTTATTTTGTCATGTGGGATGCTTAATACAGCTCAATTAAGTCATAATATATAAAAAAGAAAATGTTCAACAATTTGGTAAGAGAACAATTAACCAAAATTCTTCCTAGCCTAAAGTTGAAACCGAAGTTAATAGAAATTGAGTGTTTCTATCAGCTTGATTACATTAAAGATATTAGATGCAGGAAGATATATTCCAAGTCCTGTAGTTTTGGAGGTGATATCGTACGGATTTCAGTATTTTATTTTATATATAAGTCGCACTATTAGTTCAGCTCTTGTTAGATTGTCCTTCTCTTCTAAACAAGACAAACACCACAGTGATTGTTGCTATTAACTCTTCTCTCGACCACATGCTGGTAGCAGTAGATGGCTGTTCCTGCAGAGGCTGATTCTGCTGGGAGGTTAGAAAATGACCAAATGACTGATTGCTTTTTACTTCAGATCATCAAGACTGTATATACTGGATTTCACTAGGCTTTAAAATTGACCGGTATAAAGGGGGTTTAAACTTTACCAGCTGGTCTTACTTCTGCTTTGAGATACTATCTCAACATTTAATAATATTTTTGTTTTAGTTTGGCACTGAATATAATTACCGTAAATAATAACTGAATTGAAATTAGTTACAACCAAACTTATAAAGTCCCCGATATAAAAATCAAGAATGTAGAGGAGGTCTATGCAGAAGTGTTTTAGGTAAATATTAAATCTAGCAAACATTTAATACAGGTAAAGACTAATAATTATGTTGTCAAGCAATGATAAAGATCAATATCTGATGTTAGATTTAAAATAATAGATTCATCTAAACTAGATGCACCATTAGACTTGAGCTGATATTTTCTGAATAGCCCTGGATTGGAGAAAACAGACACTTGAAGTAGACTAAGTGTCTGTTTAAAAAAAAATGGAATAAGATAAACAATCAGATATTCTTGTGTTGTATTGCACATACTGAACACCCTCTCCATATAACCTGATCAAAAGTAAACAATTAGAAAAATTTTGATTTAGGCACACATGGCATAGGGTGTGCCCAATTTTTTAGGTTTTATTTTAAAAAACTCTGTCCGTCCGTCCATCCGTTAAGCTATTCATCGATTAGAACAGCTAAACAGCAAGCATCTTAGCTTTGCTAACAGGGAGTCTTAGAATAACCCAGGGTTGCCCTTGATATGGGTTTCTGTCCCGCCTCCTGACAGTCCTTAAAATCAAATTGGTTCATTAACAGCAAAAATAGTCAGTTTGCTGAGAAAGTTCTTTAAAAAAGAAACATTTAGGTAAAAAAAAAAAAAAAAAAAAAAAAAAATATATATATATATATATATATATTTATACATATATATTAGATTCTTTTTTGCTCCAATTAACCTGACAGAGTCAAAAAAAAGTAAAAAAAAGTAAGAAAAAATGAAGGAGAAGGGAAGCTGGGTGTGTGGTGTGCACAAGAACAAGCAGAAACCCTGTTAATGATGACTAGGATTGGACTAATGTAAGCTAGAGGTAATAACTTATTCACCCAGCAGGACATATGAATAGATTTACTATAATGAACATCACCTGGGATGTGTTGATAGAGAGGCTTCTATCTGGATCTGCCCAATGATGTGAAAATCATCAGCTCTATTAACGCCATTCAATTCCATTTTATTCTAAAATAAAGAGATTAAAAGATCCTTCAAATGATAACAATAATTCTCATTGCTGCAATTAGTCCAGTTCTTCACATAAACAAAGACAATATTGTTCATTAGATGTAGGCATCAACTGGTGTCAGTTTGACACAGTACAGGCAAAGGTCAGCCTCCATCTTAAATCATTTATGTGCAGATTCTGAACAAAGAACTGTAGTACTATAAAAATAGACTTATAAAAAAATGTTCATTGTACAATAATTTGTTAATGCTCATTTTTCAACAAAATACATGAAAAGGTATATAAAATTAAATAGACAAGTTAATGGTTGTATTCAAGTTAATAATAAATTATAATAAACAGTTATAAATAACTGTATAGTTGAAAGTAATGACAGGACAATAGTTACATTGTAAACACCATAATCTAACCTTTCCTTGTTTACCAAAAGTGTTTTGTAGAAAAGTGTGCACCAATGACTCACATGCTCAGTGGAGTCTTTGGGTCATAGATGGACTCTGATAACATTTCATTGGTCAGAAGGTGAACAGTTGGAATCCTTGTGTGCTGCCAGATTCCAAAATACAGAGGAAGACCGTTTAATATCTAAAATTGCCCTTTCACCAGTGGCCTTCAGGAAAGCTGCTTGCTAAAGGTTATACAGTCCCAGCCAACACAGAAAACTGGTACATGTCCTATATAATCTTAACTTTCCCAATCTTCCAATGCTTTAAGAACTGGACTCTGAACTGCTTTCTTTATTGAAGTTGTAGCAATAATCAATGCCCCGTAACAATTATTCTCACAATGAAGGCAAACCATAGACAACAACTCTACAGTACACAATCTTTGCACATTTTAAGAACAGAAGTTAGATGCAAATCATGATAAAACACACAGCAAGTTTTAACACAACTTCAAAGGCTGCACATGGAAGAAACAAGAACTCAAATGTATTTATAAAACACATTTTAAAATTTCTAAATGTCCTGAAGTGGTGAACACCACACTGGGAAGTAACAATGGCAACTAAAAAAACAAATTGAGCAGACAACATCCAGGGACAAAGTCAATGATAGAAAATTAAAACCAAGACTGAGCAAAGAAAAAACTCCTCTTTATCTTCAACCAATCTTTTAAAGAGGAATGTGAAACACATTTTCAATAGGAAAATAAGCACTAGACCCTCCAATTTTATTTCAAAAACAACGATTAGGACTTTCTAAACTGCATAACCACAATCAACAAATCTTGATTACCAGCTTGTGAGTTCAGGATTTCCCTTTTCTTGCTTTGAGTTTGTAACAATCAGTCACAATCAGCATAAATGACGCGTGCGCATCATTTCACACTTCATCAAACTATAAACCCACCTGTTGAAGTCACAGCAATGGAGATAATTAAAATTCCAGGGAAAATATAGTAAATATAAAATTGTGTGAACACCTACGTTACAAGAACAGTACTTCTATAGGAAACAAATATATACATTTACATTTATACACACATTTACATAAATCTAATAAATTGTAATGTCACAATTTAAAAATAAATTTTAGCATTAAAATTCTTTAGATATAAAGCCACAGGCAGATATTCTGGAAATCTGGGAGTGACTGGCCTCTTTACAACCTGGTAGTTTAACTGTACATTAATTATGTCTGAAACAGCATCAACAGCTTTGTTCATTATGGTAGCGACTCTTATGCAAGTTGATCTATTGGCAGCAGATTCTGCACCTGCTCATTTTTTTGTGTTCTTTGACAATCACTCAGGATAGCTTCTTTAGGAAAGCCAGACATCCTAATATTTACATTCTCTCTGCATTGCCATTACACACAGACCCGATGACTCTGACTCAAAGTGCGGGCAAAAATATCAGTCACCAGCAAGAACATTCCATGAACTGATGCATCTGCAGTTACACACAGGATAACTATACTGGCTGCAAGGAGGAAGCACAAGAAAGCAGCAACGAATAAACAAAAAATATTGACACACTGACAGCAGTCGCCCTGAAGTCATTTGAAGGCTTTTTTATGACGTTTTTGAACTTATTTTTTCCAATTCACAAACTTATCAAATAATTAAGGACACATAGGAACCCTGTAAATAAAAAGGCATTATTCACTTTTGAGTCTACAAGAATTAAGAGGAGTTTATTTCAATTACAGCAACAGCATATCATCTTTTGGCTTATTATCCTATCTTAACTTTATATTGTTTTTTTTTTTCTTCTTTTTCTGTTTAACATATTTTTTTCCCTTTTCTGTAAAATATATAGTTTATTATTTCTTTTTCTGTTCAAATTAAAGAGAATTAAAAAAAAAAAAAAACGTAGCAATTCCTTTAACAGCAAAAATAGTCAGTGTAACAGCTTTAACGCATATAACATAATATATTTTTTAATATATTATCTGCTGGAATTGCAGTGTTTCAAATAAGCCATTTAAACACCGACATTGTTTCAGAAGGAAACGGCTGCAAGGTTTTCTTTTCTTTTTTTTGTTACCTCTGCTAAAGAGATCTATAGCACACCATGAGTGTAAATGAGTCACCATGTGAAAAAAATAAAATCACTTAAGACCAGCATGAATTGTGAATAGATTGTGTGCCAACCGCCTGGAATTTATGATTTTGTAAGACAGACCCCAGCTGTTAGGTATTGAATGGCGAGATATGGGATCCTCGCACCTATATTTTAAGGTAAACAATGTGAGCTCCACAAACATGTACACTTATCACTTAAACCTTTTTATTTCATTTTTCATTAACATTTAATAGAAAAGACTTACTGTAATAACCATACAACACAGTGGCTTCAATCTGGCTTCTTGTCTCATTGTTTGCTGCCCATTCCTGTAAAACACAAGGACAAATTTCATTTGGCTTCACAGATGTAATAACAGACAATTGGATGTCAGTTTTAACACCATCACAGAGCGAGGATAAGCAAAAATAAGAGTCCATATATAATTCACTAAGACAATAGAAAATAAGTAGTTTATGCCGCCCTAATAAGTATATGGCTATTGCTCTTAATGCTCCTTAGATAAGGACTTTGGAAACAAATGTAAACACTATAAATAACACTGTTAACATGATAAAGATTAAATGTCCCATTTTGGAAGCATTGGGATTACCAAAAAGATCAATGCTCAAAAAATGAAAGGGAAGACTCAAATAACGCATCCTAGATCTGAATGAATGAAGTAATCTCATTGAATACTTTGTTTTGTACAAAGTTGAATGTGCTAAAAGCAAAAGCCCCCCCCCAAAATAATCAATGTAAATCAAATTTATTAATCAATGGAGGCATGAATTTGAAGTAAAAAATTCACATTTAAAGTGGAAAAAAACCAACAGGCTGATCCAACTTTGATGAAATGTCCTTCAAACGTCTCAAAATGAAGCTCTGTATTGTGTGTGGCCTTCACCTGCCTGTATGACCCCCCTACAATGCCTGGGAATGCTCCTGATGAGGTGGCATATGGTCTCCTGAAGGTTCTCCTCCCAGACCTGGACTAAAACATCTGCCAATCCCTGGTCAGTCTGTGGTGCAATTTGACATTGCTAGATGGATCTAGGCATGATGTCCCAGATGTACTCAAACAGATTCAGAACTGGGTAATGGGCAGTCCATAGCTTCAATAGCTCCATCTTACAGGAACTGCTGACACACTCCAGCAACATGAGGTCTAGCATTGTCCTGCATTAGGAGGAACCCAGGGCCGACCACACCAGCATATGGTCTCACAAAGGGTCTGAGGATCTCATTTCGGTATGCAATGGCCATCAGGGTGTCTCTTACGAGAATATGGATGGCAGAGATGGCCCTCCAGAGAAATGCCATCCCAAAGCATTACTAACCCACTGCAAAACTGGTCATGCTGAAGGATGTGGTAGGCAGCAGATCACTCTATGCAGTGTCTCCAGACTCTGTCATATCTGTCACTTGTGCTCATCTTTGAAGAGCACAGGATGCCAGAGGCAAATTTTCCAATCCTGGTGAATGGCAAATGTCAAGCGTCCTGCACGGTGTTAGGCTGTGAGCACAATGCCCATTTGTGGATGGGCCTTCATACCATCCTCATGGAGTTGGTTTCTAACCGTTTGTGCAGACACATGCATATTTGTTGCTGTTTGCAGGTCATTTTGCAGAGCTCTGGGAGAGCTCCTCCCGTTCTTCCTTGCAGAAAGGTGGAAATAGTGGACCTGCTGCTAGGTTGTTGCCCTCCTATGGCCTCCTCTATGTCTCCTGATGTACTGGCCTGTCTCCTGGTAGCACCTCCACCCTCTGGACACTATGTTGACAGACACAGTAAACCTTGTCACAGCTCCTATTAACGTGCCATGCTGGATGAGCTGCACTACCTGAGCCACTTATGTGGGTTGTAAAGTCCATCTCATGCTAACATGAGTTTGAAAGCACCACCAACATTCAAAAGTGACAACAACATGAGCCAGAAACCATAGGTACTGAGAAGTGGTCTTTGGTTCCCACCCACAAAACCACTCTTTTATTGAGTGTGTCTTGCTTTTCCACCTATCGTCTATTCCACTTGCACAACAGCATGTGGCATTGATTGTCATTGTTGCCTTCATTTTGATTTCACAGAAATTTGATTCATCTGAAGTTATATTGTGTTGTTTATGTGTTCTCTTTATTTCTTGACCAGTGTATATAATAAATAATAATAAATGCCGCAAGAATATATTTTTTAGATTTTTTCTTTTACTTCAAATTCAGAAGTCTGCTTCTCTGTAGTAGTTCATTCCTGGTGTCGCAGTTCATTGCTTTGAATCCCGATTGTGACAAGAAAGGCATCTAGCATTCAAAAAAAAAAAAAAAAAAATGCCGAGCCTCTGGGTTAGAAAACAGCAAAATTTTGAGTCTAAACAGTTTGACTAAGGTAAAATCTTTTGGGTATCCTCAAGAGTTCTCTACTAATACATCTCTTTTAAGTTTCCAGTTTTTTCATGCCCAGAGATTAGGGTTTCGTTATGGCCACTATGAACATTGACTTTGTTGCCCTAAATCCATCAGATTCTATCTCATTAGGCTTAATGTTAAGGGTTATTGTCGATTTGAAAGACCTATATTTGCCCAACTTTAACTTACTGGGTGCATTTGCAGCCTTCAGTTAAAAAAAATTGCTTTGGAGTTACTATCAAAAGCTTACAAAGCTATTACACCATCTTGAAGGTTTTGCAAATCTTACATAAAAGGCATACTAAAATGGTGGATATATATCTATGAATAAAAAAATTAATAAAAAAAAAACAGTCTCTCCTTACATTTACCAAACATAAATACTTCTTGTAACCCTAATTGATAAAAAAAAAAACTGAGGTTCAGGGGTGCTGCTATGGTGTGGAGTTGACGAATGACCCATCTTCCGGCTGTCACTGGTTCGATTCCCTGTCCCGCGGACCTTTGCTGAATGCCTCTTCACTCCCTTAAAACACACTTTCCTGTCTACATACTTTTAAAAAAAATAACAAAATAAAGACCACTAGAGTTTAGAAATATTTAAAAAAAATTTAAAACAATTTAGGTTTAGAAAAAAAAGGACTGATGAAAATGTTGAAGTTGGCAGAAATATATCTGAACATACTTTGATGAAAACATTTTGAAAATCTTAAAAATTATTTAATGAATGATCTTCCATAACACCATGACATCACCATCACAGATTCTTCTTTATCCAACTATAACTATGTGGCAAAGAAAAAAAAACATCTTTTTGCAGTAAATTTTTTATTCTTTGTTTACATTAAAGCAAAGAGCAGAGATGCCCTAATAAAACATTTAATAAAAGTAATATTAGTCAACAATAAGTATGGGAATATTTGAGTAGCTATTATTAATGGGTCACATAAACTTCAATCAGATTTATTGCTTAAATCGAGGATTTTAAATGCAGGCGGATATATTACAATCCTTTTTTGGGTTATATCGGATCTGGACATCACTGACCAAGAGACAATGATTTAGGGTGCGAAAGGAGCTAGAAGTAAAGAACTGAACTTAAAAAAAAAACAAAAAAAAAAAAACACGTAATTCATATAAACTACAGGAAGAAAATCAAGATTAAGAGAACTTTAAAAAATATTCTCTACCAATGTTCACCAATCATGTTCCTTTCAAACTAATTTCACAGTAGCTATTAACAGAACAGGCACTGACCTTATAGGTACCGTTGGGATATTTCATGTATGAAACAAGGAATATGTCGACTGGTAGGAGAGCCGAGGTTATCAAAGCAATGGCCAGTGCACATATTGCCGTGATAGTTGAAACCACCTCACTGTCTTGCCGACTCTGAAATTTGCGAATGTAGATCCAGCAGAAAGCCAAGATTGCCTGTACAAAAAAGAAGATAGTAGTTAAGATTAAAAATCTTTTGAGCAATTGTGCTTTATTTATTTAACTCACAGTTAAAGAAACAAAAAACAAATAGATATTGTATTTCATATTGTTAACACAATGTGTGTCCGATTTTTAAATATCAAGAAAAATTCTGTATTTACTTTTTCTAATTTAAACAAAATAAAAATAAAAATTATTTTTTCAGATTGAAATCAAACCTTTCAGAGTTAATAAGTTCCCACTTTTAAAAAATACTGCATTAGGATTTTGAAAATATCCATCTTCCTCTCTTCTTTACTCTTTAATGTTGTAGAACACTTTCTGTATCTTGCCCTAGAAAGCAAGGGCAAGATACATCATCTACAAAAAAGTTCATATTTAAAGCTAAAATTGGAATTAAATAGGATAATATAATGAAATCAAATTGAGAAGCAGAACCCAGACAGCATTCTAGATTACTGCAAAGAAATCTGTGCATCTCCGGAAAGAATCTGAAATGTGAGTGCGAACTGCTCAGAGGCAGCTAATCAATTACATTTCCTTTTTTTTTTCCAGAATTAGTAAAAATATGCAACACAAAGTTGCAAGATAATATGAAGCAAAATTATATCTTCAAGAAAGTATTCCTAATGAACTAGGTCAACAATGATGCAATGGGAAAGAAACTTCTGGGGGGGTGTAAATGAAGCACTAAAATATGTTAAAACTTAAGAAAAAAAAGAAAGTTTCAAAATGGCAAGGTCGTATTCCAGACACACAAACTGCTGGAAGTGAGGGCACTGCAAACAAAGGCTACTTAATATCAAGGACTGCCATTCACAGACAGGATCAATCAATTAAAGGCCCCCAGCTTTAAGCCTCTGGCTGCTTGCACTGCCAGGTAAAGACGCAGCCTTTGCATTCAAATAAGATCCCAGGGAGCTCTGGAAGGTGGACAGCCAAGAGAAGGCATTGGTCCACCATAATCTTTTATCAATCATGTGACTATTCATTACATCAGAGAAAACTTACCAGAGAAAACACTATATCTGAACATAAATACATACAAGTTATATATAATAAAGCATTTGTATAAATTGTGGGGTTTTATAGTCGAATTCAGTAAAGGGAGGATTTAAAGAGAGCAACGAGCCTGAAAGTGTGTCATGGCTAAACATAGCTAAAGCCAGTAGTGGCGTCAATGCGCTGAAGCCTCACTGCGTTGGATAACAGCACCTAAAACCTAAAGAACCTTCTGGAACAAGTCGAATTATAGCCATTTACAGCGCGGTTAGCTACTTTATGGGGTAAATATATGTGTTAAAGTGCTTACCAAGAGAACAACCGTGAAAATTGACCATCCGATCGCAGACTCTGAGAGTAAGGACTGAGCCGCCATCTTTACTTCCTGTAACAACAAACCCACGTGTTCATGTTACGTCACCGCCGTGCGTGCTCCGGCACGCAGACATTTGTCGGGATAGTTTGGAGCCCAGGCTTGTTTTTGCTGAGCCCCGCGAGTGTTTAGGCGTGGAAATAAAAATAAAGCTTTGGGAAAATCCCCTTTGTAAGGCGAAATGGAGAAATATTTATCATGAGCATAAGGATTTTTTTTGTGAAAATGTAATAAATCATTCTGTGGCTTACAAAAAATGTACAGTCAAGACTAGAAAAAAATTTTATGGAAGAGGATTAGGGGCACTGAACAAAACCAAAAAAAGTTAACTGATTTTTAAATTTTATTTCAGCATAATCTGAGAAAAAAATCTGAGAATTCGGACTTTAATCTCAAAATTCTGACTTTTTTCTCAGAATTCTCACCTTTTTCTCAGAATTCTGATTTTAATCTCAGAATTCTGACTTTTTTCCTCAGAATTCTGACACTAATCTCAGAATTCTGACCTTAATTTCAGAATTCTGACTTCTTTCTCAGAATTCTGACTAATGTCAGAATGACTAATGTCAGAATTCTGACTTTAATCTCAGAATCCTGACTTTTTTCTCAGCATTCTGACTTTTTTTTTTTTTTTTTCCGAATTCTTACTTTAATCTCAGAAATTTGGATCGTAATGTAGATGGTCACCATGAAGGAGAGATGTAGGAGCACTCAGCTTCACTGACAAAGAAGTAAGTTTTTTGGGAGGGCCAGTAACACATTGTTGAAAAATGACAAAATTAGGCAACTTTTTACGTGCCCAAGGGGTCCCCAGTAGGGGTGGGTATTGCCAAAGAGGTCACGATTCGATTCGAATCACGATTCACAGGCCACGATGTGATTCTATCACGATGCATCACGATACTTGAATTATTGCGATGCAGTGCAATATTTTCTCCTCCATGTTTTGTTTTTGAATGACTCGGCACAGTATCCCACGGCCGGAAATGCTTGTGACACAAGGCAGCGTGCGTCAACACATTTGCAGCGACATCTACTTGACTGGAAGTGGTATTGCACTTGTTTTTGGCTGATGTTCGCCAACCATTCATGCAATTTTATTTATTCATTTTTTTAAATTAATAATCGATTCTCGGCATCAAGAATCGATGCAGTAGATCACGAAAATTAGAATCACGATGCATCATCATCACGATTATTTTGCACACCCCTAGTCCCCAGTGATGCTATTTCATTAACGGAGGAGCAGAAGGTGATTAAAACAAGAGAGCTAGTCTCTTAAACAAACATGGCTACAGCTTGATGCTAACATGTTTGTTAGCTGCCAGTCAGTCAGAATTTTGAGATTTAAGTCAGAATTCGGAGAAAAAAGTCAGAATTCTGAGATTTAAGTCAGAATTCAAAGGAAAAAAAGTCAGAATTCTGAAATTAAAGTCAAAATTCTGATTTTTTTTCCCCCATGTTAAACTGAAATAGCATTTAAAAATCAGTTAACATTTTATTTTTTCAGTGGCCCTCATCCTCTTCCTTAAAATATAGCAAAATTGCACCATCCTTTATCTGTTTCATATTGTTTATTTTAAGTGATGTAGTGTTTGTATGGTAAATATATAACAAATGTGATTTTGAAATGTTTTTTTTCTATTTTCATGGCAAATAACCATTTATTGCACGCTTAACAATCCAAATAAAACCAAGACACATTAAGTATATATATCCATCATGGCTAAATTATAAAAGTAAGTCAGGCAGAAAATTCAATAAGCAACACAGCAGTTGTCTCCATTATTACTTTAAGACAGAATAGCTTGTTTCACATTTATTTTTATTTCACAATTAAATGCTTTGTAAAAGTACGCATGAGCCTAGAGCTATTTTGCATGCTGTCTTGTCACTTCAGTGTTTTAAAGGTTATTTATGTTTTGATGTTTTCTACGAATAAATCTCAGGAGTGTGATCTGCATTCAGGTTCCCCCTTTTTTTTCTTAGAAAAAGAACAAAATTGCCAAATTGTGTCCATCTGTATGTAATTCAACCTCAATATAAATACAGCTGTTCTGTGAATCCCTCAGAGGTGTGTTCATCATCAGTGAACAAAGAACACACTGAAGACAGAGTAACACACCAGAAAGATGAGAGTTTAATTTATGGAGGAGTTTAAAGCCATGTTAGGGTATAAAACAACATCCTAAACCCTGAACATATCCTCTTTCATTTGAAAATGGAAAGAGTATGTTACAGCTAAAAACCAAGCAAGACATGCACATACAGGAAAAGCAAGGAGAAGATTAGCAAGGGAAGCTGCTTAATGGTCCATATAAACTATGCAAGAAGGGCAGAGATCACCAGCACATGTGGAAGAATATGATGACAGGGCAAAAAATTCCCCAAATCTGGATTTCACACAAGAGTGGTAATATGAAAGCCATAAAAAGCCCTAAATACAAATTTGCATTTCCCCTATAAGAAACACAAACAACATGTGATAGAAGATGCTCAGGAAAATTCAGACCAAAGCTGAACTATTCAAAGTGCAGCTAAACATTAACTGAGATCTAAAGGGAAAGAAAAGCTGGTCAGAGTTTATGTAAAGGACAAGCGAAATATTGTGATAGAGCAAAATGGATTAGATCATAGCATATTCATGAGTTCAAATGTCCTAGTCAAAGTTCATATCTAAAAACAAATGTAAATTTAAGATGATTAGAAAATTTGCATCCTCAGTCTCGTTGCGGCAAGCTGTTATGTGACAATAAGCGGGCTAATATGGAATCATAAAAGGGGAAGGGCATGTGCAAGAAAGATTTAATATTTATTTTGCAAACAAAAATGCTGAGTAATGTTTATAACTCAACATTTCAATTTTTGACGATTTTACGTTGGTCTAGCAAATAAAATCATTAAAATATTATAAAGTTTTAGTTGTAATGTGACAAAATCTAAAAGGTTCAAGGAGTGTGTTACATTTTGTCAGGCACTACTTATGGAATAGCGTGATAAATGTGTTAAACGTATTCTCATTAATGATCCCACTTTAAGGGACATGTTCTGCCAGACATATAGGTTCAGACAGAGGGCATCAGTTCTACCCCTTCAGCATAGTGACTGCAGTATCATGATCATTTTCTTTCCCTCTCCAAAGTCTCACAAATGGAAAAATACAAGTATGCAGGGGCAGAAAGCAGACTATAGAATACAGGAATACTATCAGTATGAAGCGTTTTACAGAGTTTAGGTTATTTTAAGGCTAACGCTACACTTGAAATAAACGTAAGCTGACCAAATACAAAAGTGTGATTGGAATCTAAACTACCACTCCTGTAGATGTATTCCATTTATGTTCGATTAATTGTTGTAATTACGGGGTAATATCTGTCATTTCTCTGTTCCTGTGCCCCTTTGTCTGGCAAGTGCATGATTTTGAGGAAAGTGAATTTTATTGCATTTCTAGGAACGTTCATTATTTCATTTGGCCACCATCCACACTGTGTTGAGTTAGTAGTACTCACACTGCTTCTGGAACAGCAATATAGGACATACATATTTATTTTATGGCAGACATATAAAAACATGTAAACATTATTTCTTCAGTGTGGCTTGTGTTCAAATTATATTAGACCTTAAACAACTTGATTTGGATATGTTTTAGTGTTTTGGCACAATATTTATGTTTAAATATCATGCCACATATATTTAGATATTTATGGTTTTCTGAGAAAATGGGCTCATGCCAAATTATTGCCATGTAGGCTGTAGATTAAGCACTGAAAATGACCTACCTAATATATAAAAGTTAATAATATGCATTAAAAGCAAAACTGGGTGTTATAACAGTCAGCTTTTTAGATACAATGAGATTTTGTTAAATACAACAGTTTTCTTTGTATGTGCAATTAAAATGCCTCTTTGTATTTAGCACAACTATTGAAAGTAAACTTGAATCACTTTGCACATTTTATTTAATTGTTTTCAAATCAATCTTTAGCTGCTTGTGACTGTCAGTGTTGGACTCATGATAACAGAGCAGTTATGATTTATTCTACCATTCAGGGTTTGTTGCAAGTAGTAAATACGGCTTTTCACCACTTTTCTATTAGGCTGAATTTATTTCGTAATAAATACATTTGTACCAGTCATCACGTTGACCAATTCCCCCATCTGAGCTGTAAATCTTTGCAGCTCCTCATGGTTGCTTTTTTGATTAATGTTTTCCTTGCAGGGCGTGCCAGTTTAGCCATGTGTTTGTACTGTAGGTTTGCAGTTGTTCCCTATTTTTGCTATCTGTGGGTAATAGATTGAACATTGCTCAATTACACATGGATATCTTTGTATTAGGGATGCTGATTCACATTTTCAAGCTTTCAATACAATTCAGATACCTCCATTTAGATATCAGTTGATTCCGATACTTTTCCAATACTAGATCTCTGCTTTTTTTAATGTTATCATCATATCTATTTAAGAGATTTTTAATCTAACTTAATTCTATTTTAGAAATAGAGTAGATATATCTGTGTCTATGGATCATGATCATTTTAATGGGTTCCCCAATCTGGAATTTTCTTAAATATCTGGACTCATATTGATTTTAAATATGGATTGGTGCATCTTTACTTTTAATGTTCTTTTATAACCTAACTCAACAATCTTCACAACCATGACCTGCCTGCTGTGTTCTTTGGTCCTTATGGTGTTACTTTTTCAACAATGTTTTCTAACAAACCTCCGAGCCTCTTACAGAACAGTTTAATTTATACTTTATTAAAAAAATCAGTGATTCATGAAGACTGCTGGTTGCACAGGATTCTTTTTAGGGTTAACAAAGTGAAAGGGACTGGATACAAAAGTAACCCATACTTTATAGATAGATTTCCCTTTGTAAAGGAAAAGGCACTGTAAATTTAACTTAGTGGGGTTAGTGGTTGCTGTAATAAGGAGCAAAAGAGAATAAAAACACAACAGAATGAAACAGGGATGAAGGTTAAAAGAGTGTTTTACAGTTAGAATAGTGCTTTGATGTGTTCAAAGCTT